GGCTCAGGTGCGGCACAGCCCCCGGCACGGAGCGCTGCTCGTCCTCACTCCGAGGGCGATCGTCTCTCTTGAATTTCAGATATCAGCCTAGTTTCAGCCTCCTGTTTACATAAGGAATTAAAAATAGCGGAATTGTTCCGAGAAAGCCTTGATCTGAGCAGCGCTGCCTCCTCACCCTAAAATCTCTGCCCAGTTGTCTCCCATCTTCAGGGATTTGGGAGCGCTTTTGTCGTTCAGACGTTGATCTAAATTGTTGTGTGCCTTACGCACCCGCGTAGCTCCTGGAGGCTCGGCTGGGTGCTAGCAAATTGAATAAACCAGAGATTAATAGCAAATGAATAAAGCAGAAAATAAAATGGACCTGCAGGAGTGGTTACACTCCCCTAAATAGGGGCAATTACGAGCTAGAGATATAAATAAGTACATAAGGCTGGTGCCTGCAAACCTGTTCCAGCAGCGTGGGCGAGCATCGTAGGACACTGCTAGGATACTATGGCAATCGTTGGCTGCGTAACCGTGTTAGATGTGATGGATGCTCAGTTGTTTTGAAGTGTCAATAACTATAGAAATTAAATTCATAAATTTACATTTTAAATATTTGTCAAGTTTCAGTGTATTTTTATGAGGTTAATTTTTCAATCAAGTTGAAGTTCAAGACTGAGAGTAGAATACAGTATAAAGCAGCTGAGATGTTTAAAGATCCTCATTTTTGGTAGAAGATAAAGGATTAAAATTAATGTAAATATAAGTGTGTCTTGAATGCTGATTGTGTGTGCTTCATGGCACATCATCTCACGTTTCTGAAAATTGCTTTTGAGAGTCATCTACAAATTGCATGGAAATTTTTTATCAGTGTTGTTTCATTTTATGCATGTTTAGCCTGTGCAGGGCTGGTTTGGGCTAGTCAGTCCAGACTTGAACTGAATTTTATATTGTTTCTAACTCCTAGCTTTCCTAGTATGATGGAATATTAAATTTGATTGATCCTGGCCTGTTAAACAAAATGCTTTTCCTGTTTACATTTCAGGGTGGTAGAAAGTAGCATTACATTATGCCCCTTAGTAAATTTCCTATTTGATTCGTGCCTTTGGAGCAATCCTAAATGCTTTTTAGATGCCAGAAAGTACCTTTGTCACACACATACATGTCCACAGGCAAAATTTCATGACAGGGATTTGTTAACAAATGTATTCCACTAAGACTGAGTTGTTTTAGCTGTTGAACGTTTTTAGTTCGTGGCTAAATCGCTGTCTTTGTCCATGAAGGTCAGGCGTGTGATGCCAGTTGCTTGGGGCTTTTTTGTAATGTCAGTCTTTAAAGCAAACTGCTATGTGAAAAGCCAAAGCCGAGTGCATATTCCAGTTGTTGATTAATAATTTTAGGCCTTAAATACCTTTGCTTTTTTTTTTTCTTTCTTAAATTGCAGTTTCAAAAAACCCCACAAAACAGCAAAACCCAAACCAATCCTGTGGAACTGCAGATGAGTCAAACCACTTTTTGGTGTTCAGCTTTTTACAGAAGGGTCTGGTCATCAGTCAGATAATTAGGTTTTGAAGTGCTTCTGCAGGTTAACAGGAAAGATGAAAGCTTTACTTTGTTTTTCTCAGTGTCGTTTTTAAAATGTATGGTTAGGCACTGCAGGAAGTCTGGGGAAATGAGTCTTCTCCTCTGAGAAATTCGATAGTTGATCTGTGCTGGAATTGCCAAGGGAGAGAGAGCAATTGCAGTGAGGATATTTACTCCTTGCGATCTGAATAGTGAGTGCTGATTGACTTTAAAGGCAAAAAAGCCCTATGGAGCAGACACTGGAGAGTGGTTGCTTTGGTGCAACTCGGGTAGCTGTTGAGCCAAAACCATGAAGGTGAAAGGCTGCTGTTACCTGTTAGTGATCCCCTGGGAGCAAAATCCTGTTTATTTTTTGATCTTGCCTTTTGCGCCCCCACTGTGTGCTGGCCACATTCCCTTGCCGTCTGTGGAGTGTTTTGTTGTTGTCTGGGGATCTGCCTCTGACTATTCATAGCCCGATCTATCAGAGGTGGTCAGGCCAGGGAGCTGCAAGTCATCTCCAGCAGCCAAGAATAGTTTGCTTCCTGGGAGATTTGCACTGTCGCAGGTGAATCAGTGTCTGCTGTGCCTGCTAATCTGCCAGGGCGACAGTTGCAACCCAGATCTGGGCCTCAGGAATTCCCCCCTGAAATCTGCTTTGATACCTGGCTTCCTAATGTGCTTGGCCATGTGATTAGTAGCCTGCTCTTGTCTGAGAATGTTGCACTTAGACTAGCTTTTCTTGCATATATTTTTTCTTTCTCAGTGATGAGATGGAAGAATTTAATGCGAAATCTGCTTGAACTTATTTTGACATGCCAGACCTGTAGAGTTCATATTTTGCCGCCTACTTTTCTGAGGAGGGAAGAAGGAAAACTAATGTAAACTCCTCTACTTCAGAATATCTTTTATTATTCGATAACCTGTCATAGAGCTTTGCATTTAACAAATTATTAGTGAGCTAATAGGAAAGTGAGCTTACAAAAACAAACTTCTAAGTATTGCATATCTTGCTGATATTTCTGTGTATTTTGGTTAAGGTTGTACGTCTTGCCTACCAAGACTCATGCTCCTCAAGAGAAATCACTGAGTCCTCTACAGTGGTGCAGGCGTGTTCTGGATCATCCAACTCCTGAGATTGAGGCTGCAAAACGTTCCCTATGCTTTAGGTTGGAGCAAGGTAATACCATCCTTTGGGTTTCTTTACTAGTAGGTTGGCAGTTTTGGTCTGGCATTTCACTTGTCTTTGGTGTTTTTCTCAATTTTGCAGGCTTTACAAATGGTAGACATGCAGTTTTTTCCTATGTGTGCAAGTCTTCCTCCGCTACATAAATGCTGACAAATGTTTGAATTTTTTTCTGATTATGCAGTTTCTAAAGTGTTTACCTCCCTCGTTATCAGTTTCTTCTGCACAGCTGGTCCTTTAAACTTGGCAGTTTTCATCCATTGCTTAAAATAGTGGACCTCTTGGCCAGAAAACTTTGGTATTAACTTCGCTGTTGGCATCTCTATTGAGGTTTGAAAACAAGTGCTTTTGGGCTTTTTGTAAAGTCAAAATTATCATGATGCTAAAAATCTTTAAAGGCACATTTGTTCATATCCTATGTAGTGTCAGTACTTTGCTAAGTATAGGAGAGACCAAAAAGAGCCATAATTTGACTGCTAGTGCTGCTTTGTTGAGCTCTGGGTAGTCACAAGTACCGAGGTCAATCTGATGACTGTTCAGTGCCAGTGAATTTACAGAGTTCTATCTGGATGTGCTTTTAATAAATACCAGTCAGCATTATTCTTACCTTTTTTTACCATGTAGGGCCCCATTAAGATTGAGCTAAGCGTTGTTGAAGAAAGCGATTAAGGGAGGGTATTACGTTAAGGTTGTTAAGTCACTAGGAAAGAAGAAAATGAACAATACAGGAAGACAACAGGAGAAGGAAATGAAGCTAATGACAATGCGAACATATGGCTGTATAAGCTAGCTACAGCCATCATTAAGAGAGATTGGGCAAGTTCCTGTTTGGAGGATATGAGTAGCTGTGGATTAGTCTTATCCAAAATCAGGCATTTAATTGAATCAGGCTCTGGAGGTATTAGTTTCTTTGCACAGACTATAAAAGATGCTACAATGATTTTATTTTTTTTTTGTCCTAGGCATATTTAGTTGAGCTCATTTGCCTCAAGTTACATGGACCAAGCTGTGATTTCTACATTGGTAATCATCCCACCTAGCTTTAGGGTGGAATTTAGCTCATGAATTGGTCACCTGAGTTCAGGTGTCTGTAGCATGACCTGGGTGTCTGTGCCTGATTGTCCATGGGAATTTTGTCCATACAGTCTGAGGAATGGGGGGAGCTGCTCAGGGGACGAGCTGTAAGTGTTGGCCATGAAGTGAGTTCAGTAGCTCTTTTGAGTCCACTGACAGTAATGCATGCTTGGCACTTGACCCCATCTGGTCGCCTGAAGGTATGTCTGTGTGGTGTTGGGCATCCCAGTCTGCAGCCAAATCTGGTGTAGCTGCTCCATTTAGATTGCCCCGCATCGGTACCTAGTCCCATTTGAGATGGCCTCAGTTATCCTGGTTTCTGTTCAGGACAGATACAGACCCACCATAGTTCTGTGCCTTATCTGCTGTCCTTTAATGGTATCTTGACCTCCCCAAGGTCTTCTCAGGTGGGCAGGCACATCTGGACAACTGAATCCAGCCTATAGAGCCTGTAAAAACAAGCCAGAGGACAACATGACCTATTTTTCCCTTACAAGGATTGAGTTAAATTGACTAGGCAACAAAGGTTTCAAATTTAAATCACTCTCTGGTTGTCAGTTCAGTCTCTCTGTGCAGCAGTTACAGCAAGTGACATATGTCAAAGAGTTATGTTGACAATTACTTGCTCTGATCCATATGTTCTACTTGTGGTGATTGGTTCATGAATTTTCTGAGCTCTGTAAAATGTTTCTGAGAAATTATATGCCATAAATAAAACTCATTGTGGGAGCAGTATGTTCACAGTGGGAATAGATTTGTGTTTATACTGCAGCAATTCTTTGCTAAAATTTAATTAATAATTCAGTTACACTTGATTAACTCTCATATTTCTAAAGATTTTCTTTTAGCACCTGTACCTTTACAAGTAATAATAATAAGGAAATGTCATCCTTTTTACCCTAATTTTGTGGAAGTTGGTTTCACAGTATTTATTTCTTCCTCAGTTTTGGAAACAGATGTGAGATCTCTGTGAGAATCTAATAATTTGGTATTTAAGGTACAACATATTTTCTGTAAGCTGATTTTCTTGTGGTTTGTTTTGCAGTGCACTCCATCAGTAATATATGTGTATAAATATGTAAGCATAATTTTATCCAGTTTTTAAAAGTGACTCAGTAAGAATAGCATTCTTCTTTCCTGGTACTAAAGTTTCAAACTTTATACTTGCACAGGTGAACAGTGTTTTTCCCTTTTAGCCATATGCCTTGAAAAGGCTTTTTGGAAGTATTTTTAAATCTTGTTGTGCCTCTTCTGCTTGGCCCTGAGTCAATGGTTAACACTGAAGCACTTGAGTGTTATTAAATGTGTAGTCAGAAACATTTATAATGTACCAGTATGTGATTTCTGAAATGGCTTATATGTAGAATTAGCTTAGTAATTTTGTCCATGGTGCATTAGCCAGAAATTATACCAACTTAGTTGTCATAGCTCTTTAGGCACTATATTGTGCCTAGAAATAAAAAACAGTAAAAATTGATTGTTGTCTGCAAAGTCAGCGTGTCAGAAAAAGTGCACACAGAGATAAGAGCTGTGAGCTGAAAGAAATAAAAAAATTTCTAGCCTGTTTTTGAGTTTGAACTAGTTCTTGTTCTTTTTTTAATATTTTTTTTAATTCTGCCCTCAATTATTCCTGCTCATGTAAATTTTTCATATTGCATTGTATCCTGATTTTCATAAAAGTAATTAATTTGTTGTCTGAAATATCCCAGCATTAGGGTAGTTCAGAACAAGGCTTGAAGTCTTGAGAGACTTCTGCCAAAGCAGTTCTAGGTGATGAAATAATCCAGTGACTGCTTGGTCTTTCAGGCTGGAGAATCACTTGAATGATGTTATTTTCACTTTGCTGTGCCTGCCAGCCTGTTTCTTTTCTAGTGAAAATGACTGTCTTAAGTATTTCATGTTGGAGGTTAAGAATTCATCTTGGCTTAAGTCCTTAAGGTTTATTATAAGCACAGTGGTGGTCTCCAGCAGTGGTTCTTCTGTGAACCACTCTGAGAACTTGGACAAGCTTCTCAACATTCCTCTGGTCTACCACTAAGTAGGTAAAGCTTTTATCGTGTTTATAATGAACTAGGCTTATTACAGGCCCTGTTTCTGTGGATTAGGCATGCTAGCTTTAAGGAGGATCAAAGTTAAATGTAACCTCCTACGATAAGATATTTGCTTGGAATTGTTCCTGTTTTCCATACGGGTTTACAGTGTTGAGGTAATATTTGTTTGTTTTGGTTGGTTTTCTCTGTGGCCTGACCTGGATCACTTCTTTCTTCTAGCTCTTCTTCAATTATCTTTTGTTTGAAACCCTTTTGGTTTCTTATGTTTACAGCAGTTCTATACCTATTATAGGGTCAGTTTCCTCTCTGGTTTTTAAACTTGCTGTCTTATTTTATTTCTTTAGTTTAACTGAGATGAACAGGGCCACCTAACAGTCTTAATGGTGTGGTAGAGCTTCTTCTTGTGTTTTCTTGGTAGTACTTGAAGATGTTGGCAGTTGTCAACACTAAGGCGAGTGAGCAGAGAGATGTGATGTGTAAACTTCCTAGCTAGTGCAAATGGGTATAAGCACTCTGAAATTGATGAGATGGTGGTGATTGACACCGTGGCTGAAGATATATAGTCTGTAACTTCACCTTTATACAATGCTCTGAAGCAGGCGGGTGGATAAACTGAGGAGTTAAGAGGCTTAGCAGCGACTCAAGTCTGTAGGAGCTCAGCTTTTATGCAGGGCTTCAAAGCGTATCGCATCCAATTCAGCCTTGCAGAAAGAGAAGTTTTCTTTCCTGGGGAATATGAAATACTGGCTAGATTCTGAGTTTGGCTTAGATGAGTTCTTATTCAGAAATGCTGCTTCAGATGTTTAAAAAGAGTAGGCAAAAGAAAGTCTGTAGGTTTTGCAGTTTGGCTGCAGTAGTTTATAGTTTAAAGAGTAAAACTCTGGTTTGTTTCTTAAATTATTGATGTGCTTCAGGGTGAATGATGTTACCTCATTTGTGGATGATAAGGCATGTTGTGATATAGACACTTTGCAGCTTCTCTCCAGTTACTTATGATTCCACAAACCCCCAAAATCTCATCAGTGAAATTTTATCCTTTGTTGTGCTGGATCCCAGTGTTACATGTCAGCTAGGGTTGATGTCCAAACATACAATGTACTCAGAAGTAAAACTGGGAGGGGACCAAACAAAATGATTTGTTTTGACAATATTGTGTTCTTTTTACTTGTTAAAAAAAACAAACAGAAGCTGACAGCTGGTGGGTGCCCCAAGCAGGTTTTGCCTGAACATGCAACTTGTGGTTTATGCAGAACGAGACCAGGTTCTATCCCATTATCCTAATTCTCTTCCACATCCCAAGGGTTCATAGTGAAGTCATTTAGTTTGGAGTCTTTAAGATATGAAATATATTTTATCAACTGTTAAGAACTGCTGTCATAGGAAACTTTTATGCTGTCTGTTAACAGCAGAAGCTAACATAAAATACTGTAAGTGGACAAAAACTTGTCTTGTATGCTTGGGCTGAATCCAGTGCTGAACCAGGGGCAAAGTAGGATTTTTTAACTTTTCTAAAATAGATTTATTTGCTGTCCTTTGATGGACCAGAGGTGTATGTTGTGGCACTCGGAACCGATTAATAAGATTTCATATAGCTTTCTTATTTTTCATATATAAGGTAGATTATATCTATATAAAATGCTTTTGGGGAAGCAGATGATAGCATTCAGAGGCTAGAAGGAGTGAAAAAAGTGGCATGGCAGGTTTGGTTCCTTTTTGTGTATATTTCTGATAATAAAAAGTGATGAGCAACCATAACTCTTACCAGCATCTTAGCACCTTTTGAGGTATATGACATCTCAAAGGTCAGGATGTATAGCTCTCTTCTGCTGCAGTACAAGCTTAGCGCTTGGAGTGCACCTATACATGCAC